GGATGATCAACTCCAAGACAATATCATAGTAAAACTCTTAGACTTTAAAGATAAAGAAAACAAACAAACAAAAATAAAGAAAACATCCTTAGGCTTGCCAGGCAAAACTGTGAAATAAGTTACAAAAGCAACAGAATTAGATGAGCACCAACATACAAAGCAAGGCAAGAGTGGAGCAGCATTTTCAAGGAACTTATGTAAAGAAAGTGCAAATCAAAGATATCATGTCCAGTCAACCTCGTTTTCAAGGTTCATGGTACAGGGGAATAGCTCTGGTATGGTACTCCGGTGACCTTATACTTCTCCACATAGGCCACATAGGCAAGGCTCAATTGGAGTCTGACCCAAGTCTTGGCTGAATGCCTCGGAACATGGAAAGATAGGCAGTCTTGTGAGGAGCTATCATAAGGCTCTTTCTCACTGATCTCTTATAGGAGCTTCCCTACCTTGGGACAGGCTACCAGCAGATAGTTTCTCACCTGCCTCCTTGCTTTTGTGAGACACAGAAATTTCCAACCTTGCCCGCACCCTCCTAGGGCTCAACTATAAGCTATAAAACTGCTCAGCTGTAACATGGAAACTGGCTCCTTCGTAACAGAGCAAGCCATCACTTGTGTCTTCTTGTCATCTGATCCCTCTAGTGTGGTGTGATTTTGCGGAATTATGGATGTGGGGAGCTGACAACATGCTACATTTACTTATGCTGTGTGTGTAAATAATGAACTACTTCAGTTCATTTGAGATTGTTTGTCTCCTTACTGACCAATTCTACAGAAGTGTGACTAGCAGCTGCCACTATACCATTGTCTAGGGACTGCTAGACTGCCTGACTAATTTGGTGCCCAGTGTAGGGCCAGTAAGATCACAGTACCTTCTTGAAGAAAAGACAGAAGGGTCTGTGTAAGCCAAGTTAGGAGATATGAGAAGGCTCCCTGGGAAGTTCTCCCCCAAGTGGTGGTTATGAGCAGGAGCGGGGAGGGAATAAGGATCCTCCAGCTATCCCATGAGTTAATGAACATTTAGAGGCTGGGCAATGACAAGGAAGGATCGAAAACAGTCACCTAAACAATATTTTAGTTGTTCTAAAAATTTGTTGAGACTGAGTAGACAGCCTCTTAAAACCAAAATGCAGAGCTGTGCTTACTGCTGTGGGGCTGCCACCCTCATGCTCTCCAAACCCTCTCTTCTCCTCCTCCTGACCTCAGATAATAAGAAGCCTCCCACTGTTCCAACTGATCTCACAGACTGGTCACACCTCCTTGCACTTCCTGAACTTTCTGTCAAGGGGGTAAAATGGTCTCTTGGCTGCTGCTGTAACCCATCAAGTGCAAGTGTTAAACTCCTTGGTCTGTGTTCCAGCAAAAGAGAGCGTGAATTCAACTGACAGAGTTTGGGTACAACTTGCATCAAAGAGAAAAACCAAGTTAAAGTTATGAGTGAGGCCTCTGAGTCAATTCAACACACAGCTGTGAAAATTTGTAATTGGAATTAATGAGTTACATGCTTATACTTTGAATGCTCTTAAAGTGTTCGAGGAGATTCTTCTGTTCAGGGTACTGTCATGTGTAAAAAAAAAAGTGCTAATGGGATAAACTCCCCTGGGGTTTGCCACCAGTCGATGGGTCAAAGTTTAGCATGAGTGCCTGTACCCTCTAATGTCCAAAGTTTCACCATGTAAATAATATCCTCTTGGTTGACAAGTCAAAAATTTTAATATCAACAGCTCTGACTGCAGTGTTATCAGACTGCTACTAGCAGGAGTGACGGATAAACCCCAATAACAAGCAAGTAGCTTGCTTGTCAAGTAAAGTTACTTGGAACTAGGTGGATCAATTCTCCTGGCCATTCTCAATCCCTCTGGCAGCCAAAAGAGAAAAACAAAACAAAACAAAAAAAACCAAAACTGCTTTCTCTCACAAAGTAAAGAACTCTGTATTTCTGATATGGAAGCCACCACTGCATGCTAGACTTATAACTCCTGCCAAAGTTTGACCTGTTTGTTTTATAGTAAAAACTGTTGTTCCACGGTCTTCTGGCCTCCATGCTTTTTGATGAGAAATCTCCATTACAGTTAAAATTTTAAAAATACAGAAATAACATTAAAGTAATAATCTCCATTGCCTACAAACTGGACTTTCTAAAATAAAGTGTTTAAAATATGGTGGGTGTAATTTTTATAAATGGTGGAATTAGAGCACTTAATTGGTGGTGTTTGGCCAGAGGACCAAAGAATTCCCAAATCTCAACCTGCCAATAACTTAGATTTGCTGGTTGGTGTGGGGGTCCCTGAGGGAGATATGTACACAAAGAAAAGTAGCAAAGTGTATTGGTTATTACCAATAACAAACTTCCATTGGTAGGGCTTGTGCCATAGTAGAAAGAATTCCAGTAAACTAGACCAGAACATAAGGCTCAGTTCGAGGTCTGAGAGGTTTTTCCTTCTGTCTAAGCACAAAACAACCTTTACCAAACTTCCCCAAATTAATCTGACGGTGCAAGTCCTATGAGAGGAGAGGGCCAGAAAGAAGGCAGATGGAATGGGGATGCATGGTTGGAACCTCCCCCTGACACCAGTTGGGTTAGAATTTTTGCTGCTCAGGTAGAAAGCGGCAGTAATAACCACACCCTTTGGTATGATGTTTTAATATACTCTGACCTCAACAATTAGAAAGGGAAGCTCAATATCTGTCCTGGATTGTGAAGAATGAGAAGTGTTTACTCCCCCATTGGGTATTAAGGGTTGGGGAAGAGGAAGAGCAGAGAATGTCCCTTTTCTACATAAATGTTTCCCTTGACTTTCTGATGTTATTCTAAGTAATAATAAGAGAGAGATATTAGGTAAGTCCATCAAAAGGCCATTTTCTTCCCATTGTCACTCTTCCTGTGTTTAATGCTGGGTCAGGAAATGGGCAACAAAACTGGCCAAGGAATGTCATTTTAATATTATAGCATAGCCTTCTAAAGTATGTGAGAACATGGCATAAAATCAGTTAATTTCAGGTCTACACTACCTAAGAGGTTACCAACACCTTCCCATTATATTTCCCTTCTTGAATTATAAATAATTGCATTATCTGTCTATCTATCTATCCATATGTAAAATATATACAAAATAGTACGTATTACTACATATTTGAATATACTCATCAGGCAATGTTATACAGTGGGCAATACATGACAGCATAAGCCAGCTACATCAATGTGAATAATGTAAGATGTGAAATCTTATTATTAAATTTTATTGTTATTATAGTACAATTTTTTATTAAGTTTCCTTTAGATAAATAACAATATAGAAAAATGAATGACCCAATAAAGAAATTTCCCTCCACTAATGTCCTCATCAAAATAGATAAAGTGGCCATCAAAATGAAAATTAAATTATGAAAGCAACTCCTCTCTGGTTTTAAAAAGTCTGCTGTGGATATAAACTACTATATATAAAACAGATAAACAATAAGGTCCTACTGTATAGCACAGGGAACTATATTCAATATCCTATACTAAACCATAATGGAAAAGAACATGAAAAAGAATATGTATATATATGTATAACTGAATCACTTTGCTGTACACCAGAAACTAACACCACATTGTAAATCAACTACACTTCAACAACAACAACAAAAGTCTGCTGTGGTTCCAACCAGTCTTTGGTCTTCAGGAGCTGTTACTTTTTTCTGGTGTTTATTTCTGCCAACACTTCCAAAAATGGATCTAGGGATCCTCCGATGTACCACGTTTGTGAAGTTCCTAAAGGTAAAGTATACCCGTGAAACTATCCAAGCTACAACTCCATATCCACAAAATTTAGAACCAGTGAGACCGCTGCAAGCAAAAACTCCAGGCTTACATTTTTTTTGTTTTGCGGTACGTGGGCCTCTCACTGTTGTGGCCTCTCCCGTTGCGGAGCACACGCTCCAGCCGCGCAGGCTCAGCGGCCGTGGCTCACGAGCCCAGCCGCTCCGCGGCATGTGGGATCTTCCCTTCCCGGGCCGGGGTACGAACCCGTGTCCCCTGCACCGGCAGGCGGACTCTCAACCACTGCGCCACCAGGGACGCCCAGACTTATGTTTTTTATTGCGACTTATCTTACCTGGAAGGGTGAACACCAAAACAAAAGAGAACAGAGAAAGAGTCTTAAATTCAAGTTTGCAGAAATACTAGGCAGTTCTTTTAGTTTGTCTCCTGCGGACTTAAAAGACTATGGGGAAATTGTGAAGAGATTGATGGTAAATAAAGTTCAAAATCATATCTAAAAGATTGATAATTTCTAGTGTTGGTTTTACATGTGGGGAGAAAATTGCCTCGTACAATTTGGGGCATGTAATTGGATTTATAATTTGGTGGTGGCCGCATATGAGAGTTTTAAATTCATACTACATTTCACCTACCTGTTCCACTTTCTGGAATGTATTCTCGGTAAACAGTCAACCCCATGTCTCCGCCAGTCGTGGAAAAAACGAATGATAGCGGTTAGAAAATGCCAAACCTAGTAAGAAGCAAAGCCTCCTTCCCTGACCGGGAATCGAACCCAGGCCAAAGCGGAAAAAGCCCTGCATCCTCACCACTAGACCACCGGAGAACCGCAAATCCACGCCTCTTCTCCTTGCTTCTGACTACAGTGACCTTTTCCCTTTGCTCTGCAAGGCCTTGAGCCTTCCGGAAGGGTCACCCGTCGTTCCAGAAATCCTTTCCTAAGGTCGTTCCCTCCCTGCTTCGTCCAAAAAAGGAGCCCGCAGGTGACGCTCCGAGCGCGCGCGAGGCCAGCCGGGTCTGCAAGTCCCGAGCGAGTTGCCTCATCCTGGCAGCACCTCAGAACTGGCCTGGTGACGCGTCTTTGTGAGGTGGCTGCGTGTGGAGAGAAGGTCACCGGTGACCGGGGAGCGTGCTAGGGGCCCAGTGGAGGCGGGAGGGAACGTGCGCGGGGAGAGAAGGGGCCGCGCACCGTGACCCGGCATCTCCATCGTCCAAATGTACTCAGGCGGATGTAGCAACGGAGACGGCTTGGATGGAAAACGCTTTCAAATCAGGCTCCAAGGCCCTGAACTGGATTCCGAATCTTTCCCATACAACCTACTGCACCTGCAGTTTTCTTACCTTACTTGAGGGCAACTCCATCCTTCGTGTGCTCACGCCAAAAAACTTGATGCCGGTCTTTCACAATCCACAACCTAATCAGTTAAAAAATAGTTTTTCCTTTCTGATTAATTGCGCACTTTGATCCACACAGTCTTCTTCTTGGTCTGATTTTGGTCCTCGACTCTCCTGATAAAGGCGTGGAAATCGATTCAACTCGCGACGCTCGGTCCGCTAAGACTTCAGGGTTTGAGACCTTAAACCTCGGGAGCGTGGGGCCGGGTCGCGGTTGAGACTTTTCTTGGCTCCGCCGGTCCAAATCGGCCTCTTCCGGGCCTGTCCTCGGGGGCCGGGGGCAGGGCGGGGCCGCCTCAGCGGGGCCCCTCTCGCCGGGTCGGGAGCCCCACACCTCGCGTGGCGCCGGCGGAGAAGCTTCCGGCGGTGTTGATTCAATTTGCCCGCGGCCCGCGAGACGCAGGGGCGCGGTGCGCGCGGGCGCACACGGCGACTTTGTGGTTCTCGGGCACCCGCTGCCCTCCCGGCTCCTCTCGTTCTTCCTCGCGGGCAATAACGTCCGGGCAGGAAGAGACCTGTAGGAGACGGGAAGCCTCTCCTTTAAGTCCTGTCCAGTCAGGATCCAAAAACGGTCTTGAAGAGACAGAGGGCGAGGTGAAAACAGATTAAGGGAAAAGAAGAAATCCCATGCGAATTCCTCATCTAAACGCACCTGAAGATGAAGTCAGCGTCCGCAGCGACCCGGTCCTCCCGGCGTGGTGAAGGTGAGTCGAGTTCCCGTGAGCAGTTGGAGCCAAAGCACACAACCGTGGCCAGGCGGCCAGCGAGTAAGCAGCCCCTTTGCCTCCCCAGATGGGCAGCACTGGAACTTGTAGCACTTGAACGTCTCTCCCTTGGCTTTTGATGGATTCCAAGGATGCAACAGATAGGTCAATTTTTTAAATGCACTTACTTGGGGTAAGAGTACTTTAAAATCTTTTAGCAAAGGAAACGGTTTATGGCTGGTATGAACTACGACTTTCAGGTGTGGGGGAAATACGAAAGCCAATACACTAGGGAAAGCAACTACTGTTAATGACACAGACCCAGGAACGGCACTTCAGCCAGGTAGGTTTGTCCCTTAGGTTGGGACCAATAATCTAGGACGTTCACAATGAATATTTTAATTTTAATAGTTTTCAATAGAAATCCACATTCCAGAAGTCATATAACAAACACATGAGGCCAGCTTTATGCCAATTTTACAAAAACGAAAAGGAAAGATGATATATAAATGACAAGGCCTAATAAAATGCCTTTAAATATTGTTTTTTTCCACCAACATTTTTTCCGCCTTTGGATAGGTAGCATCTAACTCCTTTTTCTACGAAATCTGACAATCACTGCAAGAGCCTAATATCAACTTTCTAGTTCCACCTTACTCTTCCCTAAGCCTTTCCTCAGCATCTCCCCATCATCTTTTCTATACAATAAAAGTAAATTCTACTTCAGCCTTTAATTTGCAACCCCACACTCAACCATCAGCCTAGTAAATTAGGGTAGGCCTCCCAGGGGACTGTCCCTACAAAGAATAGAAAATTGCAAATCAAACAATTGTATTCATGGGTGTAAGGAAAATGAAGTTTTTTTTTTCAAAAAAATCTAGATTCATTGTTGAATGTTGCAGATATTTTGTCTCTCAATCAGCTCTGAAGGTAACTGGAGATTTTTCTCTGGAGGCTGCAATAGAGGATCTTTGGCTAACAGGTCAGCCATAATATGTGAAGGCACGTATCCTGCAATTAAATGAGAGGGATTAAGTGACAGCATATCTTGCTGTGCATGGTGGCTACTTTACTATATACACATTTCAAAATTTATTGAGCTGTGTGAAAAAGTCAACCCTGGAAGACTTTAAGATTTACTATCAAGCTGTTTATTACTACAAACAAGATAGTATGGGAGTGGCAAAAGGATACATGTATAGATAAATGGAACTGAATTGAGACACCTGAAACAGACCCACCTTATATGGTCAAATTATTTTTTTAAAAAGACACTAGAGCTATTCAATGGGGAAAGGAATATCATTTCAATAAATAGTGCTGGAACAACTGGATATCTATGTAGTGAAAAAACCTACAATCCCTACCTCACAATATACACGAAAGCTAATCTGAGTTGGATCATAGATCAAACCATACAAACTAAAGCTATAGCATTTTATAAGAAAATACATGAGAATATCCTTGTGACCTGGTAGTAAGCAAAGATTTTCTAAATATGACACAAAAAGAAGTAAAAAATACAATGATACATTAGACTTTAACAACATTAAAAAGTCTTCTCATGAAAATATACCATTAGGTAAGTGAAAAGTCAAGTCACAGATTGGAAGAAAATAGTTACAAAAGATATCTGACAAAGCTATGTCTCCAGAATATATAATGAACTACTACAGTTCAGATTAAAAACGGAAACACCCATTTTTTAAAACAGGCAAAAGCTTAAACACACTTCAAAGAGGAAGATATATTAATGGCCAGTAAACACATAAAAAGTGTTCAATATCATTAGCTGTCAGGGAAATAGATATTAAAACTACCTTGAGATACCACTCCACTCAGTAGCATGGCTAAAATTATAATGTCTGAAAACATCAAATCTTGGTGAAGATGTGGAAAAACCGGAATTCTCATACATTTTTAGTGGGACTGTAAAATGTTATAACCACTTTGGTTTGACAATTTCTTATACATTTAAACATAAATTTACATAAATATCCTTTTGTTCCCAGAAACACTTCACCTAGATATTCTTCTAAGAGAAATAAAAACACATGTCCATACAAAAAAAATTGTAGTGAGAATGTTCATAGCATTTTTATTCACAATAGCCAAAACTTGAAGCAACCCAAATGTCCATTATCAGGACACTGGTAAACAAATTGTGGTATATCCATGCAATGGAATACTACTCAGCAATAAAAAGTAATAAACTTTTGATATACTCAACAATATGAATAAAACTCAGAGCCATTATGCAGAACACAACAGGTTCACATTCCATTATTCCATTTACAATAACTTCTCGAAGACGTAAAACTAAGGTGCAAAATATCAGCATAGTGTTTTTCAAAAATAATGCAGAGAGGGCTTCCCTGGTGGCGCAGTGGTTGAGAGTCCGCCTGCCGATGCAGGGGACACGGGTTCGTGCCCCGGTCCGGGGAGATCCCACATGCCGTGGAGCGGCTGGGCCCGTGAGCCATGGCCGCTGAGCCTGCGCATCCGGAACCTGTGCTCCGCAATGGGAGAGGCCACAACAGTGAGAGGCCCGCATACCGCAAAATAATAATAATAAATAAATAAATAAAAATAATGCAGAGGATAATGACAATGAAAACGATGATTCTACTAAGTATAACATTATTGATCGAGTAGCTACTAAATTTAGGCACAGCTAACAATGGCAGAATGAAGTAGACTACTCCTATTAGGCCCATTTTACAGAAGAAAGAATTGAAGCACATAAAGTTTAAGTTACTTGTCCAAGGCCACACAAGGGCTGAATCAGTTTTACAAACCAGAACCTGTGCTCCTGAGCACAGATCGACCAGGTCTTTCTTCTCAGTTTTAGGTTTTTCTGGTTTTCTCAGCTGTAGGGATAAGAAGGGGAGAGAGAAGGAAAGAGAGGGCCAAAGAAAGAGTGAGAGATGGAAGTATAAGGATCTGTAGTTATCAAAGAGCAGAGCAGGAAACTATTGTGAATGTGTTTACATCAAAGGTTGTAAAAATTTGGGGGAGTCTGGGTTGGTGGTCTGCAAGCAAGCTATGGATTCTATAGTGATTAAGTATTGTGCTGAGGTCGGGAGATGAATCATATATGTAAAAGCTGGAAGTTAAAACATTAAAGCTTCTAGAAGAAAATGTAGGAAAATATATTCACAATCTGGGGATAGGAGAGATGTCTTAGAGTAAGATGCCTTAGCAATAAAAGAAAAAATAAAGAAACTAGATTTAGTTTCTAAAGCAAGTTTCTGAGCAAAATACTGGAATAGACTTTCTTCACAAAAGAGAATTTCTAAATGGGCAAAAGACCTAAGAGATGTGCAATATCATTACTTATTAGGGAAACACAAATTAAAACTACAATGAGATACCTTTATGCACCCATAAGAATAAGTAAAACTTCAAAGACAGAGAATGACAAATGCTGACAAGAATGTGGAATAACTTATATCTTGCTGCTGTTGAGAAGGTATCGCACAGTCATTCTGGAAAACTGTTTTGGCAGTTTCTAATAACGTACACCTACCCTGTGACTGAGCAATTCTACTACAAAGTATATATTGAAGAAAAATGAATGCACATGTCTACAGAAAGGAATTATACAAGCATGTTCATAGCAGCTTTGTTCACAATAGCCAAAACTAGAAATAGCTCTATTATCCATCAACAGTGATATGGACACACACAGGAATAACCTTCATGAATAACACCAAAATAATACACTCAAAAACACAGATGCATCAAAAACATTATGTTGCATGAAAAAAAAAAAAGCCAGACACACACAAAAAGTATATTTATTTATGTGAATTTCAAAACAATCAACACTAATCTATGAAGATAGAAATCAGGTAGTTTACATCTACTTAATTATATGTTCTTGTTGAAACATTTTGAGGAATTTACAGACATCATGATCATTGAACCTAAGTACTTCAACATGCAAATGACTTCATCTCTTTGATTATCATTTATGGACTCCAATATTCTGTTTTTTAATCCACTAGACTGCGGTCAGCAAACTCTTTTCCGAAAAGTACCAGATAGTAAATATTTTAGGCTTTGCAGGCCATATGGTCTCTGTTACAACTGCTCAACTCTGCCATTGTAACACAAAAGCAGCCATACATAATACATATGTGAATAGGCCTGGCTCTGTTCCAAAAAAAAAAAAAATTTACAAAAACAGGCTGTGAGCCAGATTTGGCCAGTAGGCCATAGTTTACTGACCCCTGCACAAAAATCACAATTCCTTTTCATGCTCAAATTATCACAACTTATGCCACTGGGAATTCCTTAAAGCTGGCTATGTGTTTTTGAAAAGATCCTAATAGTTTGTTAATGAACATTGCTTTCTGGTCCAAGCTTTCCCATGCTCACCTTGTAATTCCCCTGCACCATTCCTGGAAGTAGTCATTTCTTTAAGAAGTCTGCTTCATTTTGTGGGTAATGGTATTAAAGACCAAAACCTGGACACTGTGGATACTCATTGAGCTTTGGGTGATGTTGCTTTTAAACCAATTCAGTTTACAGTGCTAAAATAGATTCTAACTGAATTTATTTCTTTTACATGTATCAAATACTCATTTAAAAATAACAGTGTGGGGCTTCCCTGGTGGCGCAGTGGTTGAGAGTCCTCCTGCCGAGGCAGGGGACGCGGGTTCGTACTCCGATCCAGGAAGATCCCACGTGCCGCGGAGCGGCTGGGCCCGTGAGCCATGGCCGCTGAGCCTGCGCGTCCGGAGCCTGTGCTCCGCAACGGGAGAGGCCACAACAGTGAGAGGCCCGTGTACCGCAAAAAATAATAATAATAATAATAACTGTGTGTGTGTATCTATTATAGATTTTTGGTTTGTGATTACCAGAGGTTTATATATAGTAATCTTTATATCTGTATCTATGTATGATTATTTTAAGTTGCTGATCTCTTAAGTTCAGACGCATTTTAACAACCCTGCATTTTTACTCCCCTCCTCCTATGATTACTGTTTTTGACATCATATTTTACATCTTTCTGTGTTTCCATTAACTACTTATTGTGGCTATAGATGATTTTACTACATTTGTCTTTTAACCTTCCTACTAGGCTTTATAAGTAGTTGATCTACTACCTTTATTGTATATTTGCCTTTACCAATGAGATTTTTCCTTTCATAATTTTTATATTTCTAGTTGTGGCCTTTTCTTTTCTGCTTAAAGAAGTTCCGTTAACATTTCTGGTAAAACTGGTTTCATAGTGCTGAACTCTTTTAACTTTTGCTTGTCTGTAAAACTTTTGCTCTCTCCTTCAAATCTGAATGAGAGCCTTGTGGGGTAGAGTATTTATGTTTTTCCCATTCATCACTTTAAATATATCATGCCACTCCCTTCTGGCATGCAGAGTTTCTGCTGAAAAGTCAGCCGATAGCCTTATGGGAGTTCCCTTATATGTAACTTGTTGTTTTTCCCTTGCTGTTTTTAATATTCTCTCTTTATCTTTAATTTTTGCCATTTTAATAACGTGTCTTAGTGTGATCCTCTTTGGGTTGATCCTGTTTGGGACTCTGTTCTTCCTGGACCTGAATGTCTGTTTCCTCTCCCAGGTTAGGGAAGTCTTCAGCTATTATGTCTTCAAGTATGTTCTCTGTCCCTTTCTCTCTGTCTTCTCCTTCTGGGACCCGTATAATGCGAATGTTAGCATGTTTGATATTGTCTCAGAAGTCTCTTAAACTGTCCTCATTTTTTAAAATTTGTTTTTCCTTTTTCTCTTCAGCTTGAGTGTTTTCCACTGCTCTGTCTTTCAGTTTGCTATTCTATTCCCCTGTATCATCTAATCTGCTGTTGATTCCTTCTAGTGTATTTTTATTTCAGTTATCCTTCAGCTCTATTTGGTTCTTCTTTATATTTTCTAACTCTTTGTTAAACTTCTCACTGTGTTCATCAGTTCTTCTCCCGAGTTCCTTGAGCATCTTGACCACTCCCTGTCCTTTAATATTTTTGTTGTGAAAACATCCACAATGTTTTCGAACTTTGTTCTTAAACAACTACAGGTTCTCGCACATTTCTCTCTTTCAGGTCCTCTCTCTCCATTTCTCCCTCCCCATTCTGATACAGAATAAAAACAGTTCTCTTCTCTCAGGATCTGGCCTGGGTCTCTGCACAAGCCTCCTGGGAGGTCTTGTTGTCCTTGACCATGCCTCCCCTTCTTCTTTTCCTCCTCCTGAAGTTTCCCTTTCAGCCCTGACCCTTTCCCCATGCCCACCCACTGACCCACCACCCACTGAGACTGAATGCAATTGAGTTGAGTGTGTGGAGCATTCAACTCAATTGCATTAAGAAACAAGGTAATCCCTCTCACTCCTGTTGTGCCTGTGACTCTCTTTATAGTCTCAGCTGCTGTCACTAAAAACTATCGCTTGCATTTGCCATCCATTCCCTCCATTCCATGGCCTAGGTCTTACTGGGCTCTGTCAAGGGCCATTTCCAATGGCTTTTTGGCAGCCCAGGCAACTCTTTCAAGACCCAAGTGAAAGAATAAATAAATCTGTTAGATTTTTTAAATCGGCACCAACATTAAGTATCCATTAATCATATTAAAGGAGATAAAATATTTTAAGGGCTTTGACAAAGTGGAAAGTAAATTGTAGATGCAAAAACAATCATCTGTTAAGTAGCAAAGTTGGGTGAGGGTGGGAGTTCAGAAAGTTAAAATTGACTTCTTGTTAAATGAAACCCCTACATGTTTCCCTACTTCAAGGGAAAGAAATCCAACATTGCATTGGGATATATTAATTATTATGGAATGAAAAGATTATGATTAATGAAAAATCATTATGCTAAATTTATTAGTCATACTTCGAACATATACTCCAGTTTTTGATTACTCTGCTCTTAAAAGAATGTAAGGGGCTTCCCTGGTGGCGCAGTGGTTGAGAGTCTGCCTGCCGATGCAGGGGTCACGGGTTCGTGCCCCCGTCTGGGACGATCCCACATGCCGCGGAGCACCTGGGCCCGTGAGCCATGGCCGCTGAGCCTGCGCGTCTGGAGCCTGTGCTCTGCAACGGGAGAGGCCACGAGAGTGAGAGGCCCGCATGCCAAAAAAAAAAAAAAAATCATTTAGGAAAAGCCACAATTGTTTTTATTGAAACTATCTTCAAGAAAATAAAAGGTGTTGAGAAAGTATTATTTGTTTGATGTTTTCTATGCAACAGCAAGATCGAACAAGGAAAATATGCTTAGATTTTTCTTTAGAATTGATTAGTTGGTAGTATGAGCAAAAGAATACACAGATACTAAAACTGGCTGGTAAGAGAGGTGGTCTTTATTGATAGGGACATCCAGGGAGAAACAGGTAGCCTTGTGTTGAGTATGGCGGGCCATCAGAAAGCAGGGCTTCCTCAGGTTCTGTAGCTACCTCCACATTCCAATTCTAGGATTACAGCTTGAGACCAGACACTCTGAGTCCTTCCCATGGTGCTATTGTTGAGTCCCAGTTACTGAGATTTGAATTCTGACATCTCAAATTTTGTTTCTGCCTACATGACTGTCAAAACTTAGGGATGATAAAAAGGCTTTCTGATTTCTGAAGGGACACTCCCAGGGAACTTTATCTCAACGGTAAGAATCAAAAATACTCGTCCTTTAGCCCAGTTTAAAGCCCATTTATTTTCATTTGTTTACTTCATTGTTTGCTTGTTTTTAGTTCTAAAACTTCTCTGGACCGTCCTCTTCCTCTTCATAGCAAGCAGCGTCTCCCCTACTTGCTGCATCTTTCCTTCAACCCAGTGGATCACCAGGGTCTTCATGGCTGATAAAGAACTGTTCAAGGGGGCACATTGTAGGCTTCATTGTTTACTTTCTTGTAGGTTCTGCTCTTGTGATTTTTATGCTCCTAGGGGACCCTTCATAGTAATCCAGCCTCTTTAAACCATTATTTTGTTTTGATTCCTCTAGGTAGCTTTGGAGGAATGTCTAGCCATTGTGGAGACCCAGATGCATTTCTTGTCTATCTTTCCTTTTAAAGGAGGCAGTAAGAATGTTCTTTGTGAGAAAATGTTCCAACTGAAGACTGTGATGCATCAACCCTCAGAGAAGAAGGGACCTGCTGAGAGGGGAGTGAATGAGCAGAAGACTCAGCCTGAGAAAGTAGGATTCTCCTCTGTGTCCCACAGTGGGTAAGAGACTCTTTGTTCGGAGACTTCTTCTGTCAGAATTAAGTCATTGCTATCGTAGCACCTTTCAGGGTCTGTATTCAGGCTTTGTACCTTAACTGTAGTGCTTTCTCTTAAGACCTTCCTGGAAATTCTTTAAAGAAAAGTCTATAGTATTCTTATTTTATTTTATTTTTTAAAAAAGGTCCACAACGTGGAACCAAGTTATGTTTGATTTTTTTTAAGATTTTTTGATGTGGACCATCTTTTTAAAAAGTCTTTATTGAATTTGTTACAATATTGCTTCTGTTTTTTGTTTTGATTTTTTGGCCATGAGGCATGTGGGATCTTAGCTCCCTGACCAGGGATCAGACCTGTACCCCCTGCATTAGAAAGCAAAGTCTTAACCACTGGACCACCAGGGAAGTCCCTGTGTTCTTATTATTAATTATTTTATATTATTCAGAGTAGTTTGGTTTTATTCTAACTAACAATGCATGTATTCACCAAATATATGATATCACGGGTACTTGAGATTTCATGGAACTCTTCCAGTCACTTGAGTAGTGTCTCTTTTCTTCATTGATGGAAGCACATACGAATCTCCTGTTACCTGAGATGTTTTGATGGTGAAAGCTGACCCACTTCAGTGCCTGAGGAGGTAGACTTATACAGAGGCTCCTCCATCTCCACCCCGTTCTCTTGGAAGCTCATGACCCTGGTTTCTAGAATGGCAATTTGGACAAACTCAACATTTTAAATTTATTTTTTATTGAGGTAACATTGGTTTATAACATTATATAAATTTCATGTGTACAATCTTATATTTCTACTTCTGTATACACTACAGTGTGATCAGCTCAATTTTACAAATAAGCTTACAAAATTGCCAAATAATGGCCTGTTGGCTAGATTTGTCAGTCTGTCTTTAATGGCTGTTTGCCTATAACTTTTGGAAAACATTCAATTAATATGGGGATAATCTATTATACAGTTACCTGTGAGCACCAGTTACTGAAATACTAAATCATCACTAACTTGCTTAGTGGTTGAAGTGCAGCTTTGGAGGTGGTTAGATTTTGCTTCATACTCCATTGGGTCACTGTCAATATGTACCACTTAAATTTCACTGACCCAGAGAATAATGTTAGAGCTAAAATAACCTGAGAGTTATTTTAGAACTGAGAACACTCAGGCCCAAAGATATGGTTGCTTGATCACAGTTGCACAGTAGCCTTCAGCAGAAATAATATCAGAATCCTGGGCCCTCAATTCACAAAGCCTACACTCAGTTTGTCAAACGCATTGAAAAAATTTATATTCTTGTGATCATTCTTTTTAAAAAATAGAGTTTATTTTTAGAGCAGTTTTAAGTTCAGAGCAAAATTCATGGAAAGTACAAAGAGTTCCCATATACCTATCCCTTGCCCCGCACATGCATAGCCTCTTCCCCCAATGTCAACATCCTGCACCTGTGTCGTATATTTGTTGATATTTGTTGCAATTGATGAACATCATTATCACCCAAAGTCAGTAGTTTACATTAGGGTTCATTCTTGGTATTGTACATTCTATAGGTTTTGACAAAAGTATGATGACATGCATCTACCATTACAGTATCATATAGAATGACTATTCACTGCCCTAAAAATACTCTGCTCCACCTTCCCTCCCTTTTAATCCCTGGCAACCACTGACCTTTTTACTGTCACCATAGTTTTGCCTTTTCTAGAATGTCATATAGTTGCAGTCATACACTATCTAGCTTTCCCAAACTGTCTTCTTTTACTTAGTAATATGCATTTAAGATTCCTCCATATCTTTTAATAGCTTGATTGTTCATTTCTTTTAAGAACTGAAAAATATTTCATTTTCTGGATGTACCACAGTTTATCTGTTCGTCTACTGAAGAACATCTTGGTTGCTTCCAAGTTTTGGCAATTATGAATAAAGCTGCTATAAACACTGTGTGCAGATTTTTATGTGGACATAAGTTTTCAACTCATTTGGGTAAATAGTGAGGAGTGTGGTTGCTGGATCATATGGTAGGAATATGTTTAATTTTGTAAGAAACTGTCTTCAAAAGTAGCTATAGCATTTTGCATTCCCACCAGCAATGAATGAGAGTATCTATTGCTCCACATCCTCACCAGCATTTAGTGTTGTGAGTGTTCTAGATGGCCGCCATTCTAACGATGTATAGTAGTATCTTATTGTTGTTTTAATTGGCAGTTCCATGGTGACATTGATATTGAGCATTTTTATATGCTTATGTGACCTCTGTATATCTTCTTTGGTGTCTGTTCAGGTCTTTTGCCCATTTATTTATTTATTTATTTATTTATTTATTTATTTATTTTTGCGGTACGCGGGCCTCTCACTGTTGTGGCCTCTCCCGTTGCAGAGCACAGGCTCCGGACGCGCAGGCTCAGTGGCCGTGGCTCACGGACCCAGCCGCTCCGCGACACGTGGGATCTTCCCGGACCGGGGCACGAACTCGCGTCCCCTGCATCGGCAGGCGGACCCTCAACCACTGCGCCACCAGGGAAGCCCCTTTTGCCCATTATTTAATTGAATTGTATGTTTTCTTATTGTTGAGTTTTGAGAGTTCTTTGTGTATTTTGGGTAACAGTCCTTTATCATATATGTCTTTTTCAAATATTTTCTCCATGTCTGTGATTTGTCTTCTTACTCTCTTGACCATGTCTTTTGCAAAGCAGAAATTTTAAATGTTAAAACTTGGTATTATATCTGAAGAGTCAATACCAGCAACAGAAACCAACACACCATTGTAAAGCCATTATACCCCAATAAAGATGTTAAAATAAATAAATAAAAAGTAAAAAAAATAAAAAAGCAGTCATTACCAAACTCAAGATCATCTGGATTTTCTGTTGCATTATCTTCTAGGAGTTTCATAGTTTTGTGTTTTACATTTAGGTCTATGATCTATTTTGAGTTAATTTTTGTGAAGGGTATAAGGTCTGTATCTAGGTTCATTTTCTTTCCATGTGGATGTCCGATTGTTTGGCACCATTTGTTGAAAAGACTATCTTTTCTCAATTATATTGCCTTTACTCCTTTGTCATAGATCAGTCAACTATATTTTTGTGGGTCTGTTTCTGGGCTCTCCATTTTGTTCTGTTGATTTGTCTATTCTTTCACCACTACCACACTTTCTTGATTACTATAGGTATATAGTAAGTCTTAACATTGGTAGTGTCTGTCCTCTGACTTTGTTCTTCTCCTTCAATATTATGTTGACTCTTCTGGTTCTTTCGCCTCTCCATGTAAACCTTAGAATCAGTTTGCCAATGTCTACAAAATAACTTGCTTGAGATTTTGACTGTGATTGCCTTGGGTCTTTAAATGAAGTTGGGAAGAACTGACGTCTTGACAATATTGCATTTTCCTATCCATGAATATGAAATATCTCTTCAGTTATTTAGTTCTTCTTTGATTTCCTTCCTCAGAGTTTTGTAGTTTTCCTCACATGGGTCTTGTACACATTTTGTTAGACTTATACCTAAATATGTCATTTTGGGGGGTGCTAATGCAAATGGTATTGTTTCAATTTCAAATTCCACTTGTACGTTGCTGGTATATAGGAAAGAAGCTGACTTTTGTATATTAACCTTGTATTCTGCAACCTTACTGTAATCACTTATTAGTTCCAAGAGTTTTTTGGTTGATCCTTTCAGATTTTCTACATAGACAATAATGTCATTGCAAACAAAGACAGTTGTATTTCTTCATTTCCATTCTGTAAACCTTTTATTTCTTTTCCCTATCTTATTGCATTAGCTAGGAATTCCAATATGATGTTGCAAAGGAGTGGTGAGAGGGGATAACCTTACCTTGTTTCTGATCTGAGTGGAAAAGCTTCTGGTTTCTTACTACTAAGTGTAATGTTAGTTATATGTTTTTTGTAGATAGTCTTTATCAAGTTGAGAAAGTTTCTTTTTATTCCTATTTTGCTGGGAGTTTTTTTTTTTTTAATGATGAATAGGTGTTGGATTTTGTCAGATGCTTTTTTTTTGCATCTATTGATAAGATCATGTGATTTTTCTTCATTAACCTATTGATGTGATGAATTACATCAGGTGATTTTCAAATGTTGGAGCCAGCTTTGCATGCCTGGAATAAATCTCACTTGGTGTGTTGTATAATTCTTTTCATACATTGTTGACTTCAATTTGCTAATATTTTGCTGAGAATTTTTGCACATATGTTCATGAAAGATATTGGTTTGTAGTTTTTTTCTTATAATGCCTTTGTCTGGTTTTGATATTAGGGTAATGTTAGCTTCATAGAATGAGTTAGAAAGTATCTCCTCTGCTTCTATCTTCTGGAAGAGACTATGGAGAATTGGTATAATTTTTTCCCTAAATATTTGGTAGAATTCACTAGTGAACCCATCTGGGCCTGGTGCTTTCTGTTTTGGAAGGTTATTAATTATTGAATCAATGTCTTCAATAGATATAGTTCTATTCAGATTGTCTATTTCTTCTCGTATGAGTTTTGGCAGATTGTGTTTTTCAAGAAATTGGCCCATTTCATCTAGGTTATCAAATTTGTGGGATTAGAGTTATTCATAGTATTCCTTTATTATCCTTTTAATGTCCATGGGATCTATAATGATGTCCTCTCTTTCATTTCTGTTACTAGTAATTTGTGTCTTCTCTTTTAGTTAGCCTGGCCAGACGCTTATTGATTTTATTGATGTTTTCAAAACAACAGCTTTTATGCAAAAAAATTACCTAGATACATTTTAATTGTTATTGTGATAAGTGCTGTTTATTATTTGGAAACTGGCTGAGAGTAAATAATAGACCTATAGAATCCAGCATAATAAATGTGTTTCAGAAAAGAGCCTTGTTTTAAAAGTAGAATTAGCTTTATTTATATCTCAGTGATCCCTGAAAGTCAGAAGAGTATGCATGGTACTGATAAAGACACTAGGTTGGGAGTTTGAAGCCAAAATTTTTAATGATGGCTCTTCCACCAACCAATTATGGGGGTTC